CAATGATTAAAATATCTTTTTATAATTGAGGCAGAGAAGTTACATCCATGATAAAAGATATAATATAATTTCACCACACAATTAATCGCAATAAAAATGAATGCAGAAAAAATAAAGGAAAGAAACACTGATTTATAGGGTTCGGTCAACCATGACCTACATCCATTACCCGGAGGAACCCTCAAGTATTACACTAGGACTTTTAGTGATTCTCCTTAGCCCCACAACTAGTGGAGAAGCCCTTTCAAATCACTTTCACCTTCCTGATGCGACGGAGGAGCTGGGTCAAGTTTGACACAAAAGAGATCTCTTCTGAAAACTTCCTCAAGACGAACATTGAATTTGATTGGTACTAAGGTGCAAGCTCGCCCGAGCAAACTCGTGAAATCTCCTTCACACTCCCTTAAAACCCCCTCCAAGGATCTTTCTCCCTCTCTCAATATCCACTCTTTACTCTCTCCCTTCCAAGTTCTCTCTTTAAGTTTTCTCCAAAAGAACGAAGACAAAATGGCGGCTAACGACTTTACAAGGATCTTGATCGTATTATTACGATTAAAATAACTTTTCAAATTTAAAATTTTGTCTAATATTTGGACGGCGTGCTTTCTAATTATAACAGATTGTATTAGTGCGATGTGGTGTTCGTAAGTAGATTAGTTATATTTAAAAATATTTTTTTAGGAAAATAAAATATTTTAATTAATTTATGTTACACTAAATCATATAATACAATACAGATCGTACAATACGTTGTACAAAAAAATTAAAATATTTAAATCTTATTTTTACTCCCTCTCTATGTGTGCATGATCAACAAACTAATATACATCATTAAAGACTTGACTCAAGAAATGAAAATTATACATACTCATTAATATAATCAATTGTACACAATCTCGAGTCTTGAATCTTCAAAGAAAAGTGCATGGTATCTGAAATATTAGTAAACACACAATAAATATATGCACTGTAAATACTATGAGAAAAAAAGAATTAATCGCTATTATTTGTTATCATCAAAATATATTTAAAATCAGAAAACCTGAGTTGCAACACCTCTTTAGTATTTAATCTATTATATATAAATCATTAAAAGCTATGCTCTTTGCATCGCAAGTAGCTTTCTTTAGGTTCCTTACGAGCTCTTTATATCTTTCCCAATTATTCAGAATTTTTACATATAAACTAATTTTTATAAAAATCTTCTTATTGTTTATCTTTTCTTTCCACATTTTATCCGCCAAAACTATTTTTACTATTAGAAGCTTTTTCTTTTCAAACTCAAGAAATCTATGCAATATTTTAATATCACAAGACACTTTTTCCACATAATATTGTCATTCTCATGCCAGATAAATCTTAAGATCTAAAATCTTACTCTCGAAAATACTTTTGTTAATATTCTTTAATCCTAGAAAATCATTTTACATACATATATTGATTCATTGTAAAAAGTGGGCTTCCATGGTCTAAAAACTTTCATTTTCAATTGGTGATTAATCTTTAATATATATGTAATACTTTAGGAAAAAAATGCATTGGTTGTCTTTAAGGTCTTTAGAGCAAAAGTAGAGATATATGTGAATGAGGTAGAGATGGTGAGTATTATGAAAATAAATTGAAGATAAATAAAATATTTGATCCATTTACAAAGTTCTTTCAAGTGAGTGGGATTTTGCCAATAAATTTACCTGACTCACCTAATTAGAATGGTTAGTTGAGAGAAATAAATATTAATGGATATCATGAGGACCATAATTAGTAGCTCTAAACTATTTAAGTCCTTATGGATTAAAGCTCTTAAGATGATTGTATACATATTTTACCATGTTTGAATGATGGTTATCCCCCAAAATGCCTTTTGAATAATGAAAAGGTTGGAAATCATGTTTGCAACATGTATGGGGATGCCCATGTGAAGTAAGAGATTACAAGCCAAAAGAGAATTTGGACCTAAGGACTATTAGTGGGTATTTTATTTGATATGTTGATAGTTCCAAGCATTACATATATTATCATCCATCTAACAACATTATGATAGTGGAATCAAGAAAAGTAAAGTTTCTTAAAAAATGATTTGATTAATAGAAATGATCAATTATATACCATAGTTCATAAAAGGAATATATCGATGTTCAACCTTCCATTTTAAGTGCCATGCTAATTATTATACACAACACATATAAGTCCAAATGGATGTTAGATAGCTAGTAGTTTAGATTCCAAAAAATACTAATAATGAATCAATAGATCTAGTTGTTCATGAGTTACCTTATACAATTAGGTAACCAATTTCATAAGAAAAGATTGTTATAATATTAAGGATATATATTAGGGAAAGACAATTAGCAATTCATATCGGCTACATTATGTATTTTTAAGAGTTAGACTATAGCATTGGAGTTGAACATGATCATGAAACATTTTCACATGTCATGAGTTATAAAGAATTCATGTTATGATTTGATGCCATAAAAAAGAGAGAAATTTTATAATACATTATGGAGTTTGTGATCTTGTTAAGTTGCCTAGTGTTATAAAAGTCATACAATAAAATGAGTTTATAATATAAAAAGAAACCTATAGAGCAACATAGAGATATATAAACAACACTCATTGCTAATTGATTCACTAAACAAGTGCATTAATTATAAGGATATATTTTCTCCTATATTTAAGACAGATTCATTCCAAGTGATCATAGCACTTATTGAACATTTTGACTTAAGAGTTTTAAATGGATATAAAACTGTATTTCTCAATGGATAACTAGAAGAAAAGGTTAACGTTAAATTTTAAAAATGATTATTCTCTAATGATGGTGGGCATTTGGTGTGCAAGTTTAAGAGTTTTATATATGAATTAAAATAAACCTCTCATCAATGGTATTTAAAATTTCATTATGTGATCTCTTCATTTGGATTCATATAGTATAACATAAATTAGTGTCTATATTAGAAGATTAGTGGGAGAAAATTTTCTTTTCTAATCCTAGATATAAATGATATTTTACTAGCAAATAATGATAAGGGTTTGTTGTACGAGATGAAATAATTCCTCTATGGAAACTTTGACATGAAGGACATATATGTTGCTAGTATTAAGATACAAAGAGATAGACTACAAGACATCTTTGATCTCTCAAGAAATGTATATCATCAAAGCCTTAGAGAGGTTAAGGATGAAATATTGTTCATCAACAGTAACATGTTCAACTTGAGTTAGTGTCTGAAAAATTATTTTGAAAGGGAGGACATGAGAAACATTTCATATGGTTTAGTGGTTGATAGCATAATGTATGCTTAGATTTGTGCAAGACTTGATTTATATTTGAAATTTTAGGCAGATATCATAGTAATCCAAATATATACCACTGACAAGCTATAAATAAGGTGATGAGGTACCTTCAAGATACCAAGGACTACATACTTATGTGTAATAGATTGATAGTTTGGAGATGACTGGCTACTCTAATTCGAACTTTGTTAACTGCTAGGATTCCAAAAATTTGACTTATGGGCACATCTTTATGTTTATAAATAGAGCTACGTCTTGGAGGAGCACTAAACAACTTCGACTTATAATTCCACTATGGCAATCAAGTTGGTATATTGTTTTGAGCCTATCTTGTATGATTTATAATTGAAAAAGTTTATTTCTAGACTTAGAATTGTGAATTGCATCTCTAAGCCATTGAGGATATAATGTAACAATTCAACTACAACCTTTATGGCTACAAGAACAACAAGAGTTGTAGTCGAACCAAGCACATCAATATTAAGTACTTAGCCGTATCATAGCATGTTAAAAAGAATTTAGGGGTTATTCAACACGCAAGTGCTTCTTTGATGATAGTGGATCATGTTGATCCTATTTATCTTAGATATTTCGATTGGTTTCTTTGCATGGAAATTTTTTAGTTTCTTAATTTTTTGACCTTTTTTGAACAAGTCATAATATAGTCCAATTATCTCTCTAATAGGCAGAGCATGGACAATTGCCTTTCAATTTTTTAAAATACCCTTTTGCTCTAAAAATTTTTCTACCGTGGATATAAAAGATAAGAGAGTGAAAACTATTGAAAATTATAAGATTTTAATTTTTAGGTCTCTACTACTTCAGTCTTATTGAACAATATATACTATCAATTTTGAGATTTAAAAAAAAAAAGGCAAAAGTGCTTGAAATCAACGGCAAATGACAAACCATCAATGGTGCACATAAAATAAGTAACATAAAACCATCAAATTTAAAAGGACAAATGTGTTCAACCATATTAACCCTATGTTGAGGTGCAAGCAAGTTATGCAGACTCATAAGTCAACTCATAGTTGACTCGATAAATAGAGTTAGGAGACTCGAAAGTCAACTCATAGTTGACTTGATAAATAGCTCATGATATAAACTCAAAGAGTTAATGAGCCAAATTTGAGCAAATTTTGACTCAACTCGTCATCTCGTGAGCTAGCTCGTTTTAAAAATAGTTATAGAAGATGCAGTTAAAATGTATTAGCATTTAGAATTTTGAATAAAAATAGTTGAAAGTATGTAAAAATTACAACTTTCTTATATTAAATGATTCTTTGTTATTTTTTCTTCTAATTTCACATTCTTTCATCATTTCATTATAATAATTGTTTGAATACTTATTTTCTTTCTTTCATAATAAATGAGCCGGCTCGTGTGTTGGCTTGAATTCGTACAATAAAGCTCGAGTTTGAACTTGATTAACTAATCAAGCTCAAGCACAAACCAATAGTAACTTCGAGTTCAACTCAACTCGTTTACACCCTTTAACTCCAAACCATTTCCAATACATTACCAGCATAAGCAATAGAACTGGACAACTAATACAAAAGTAAACTAACAAAAAGGATCTTATGCTCCCAATAATACAAAAAAAATAAAAAATCTCTTGAATGGGCATCAACCTCTTCAGTTACCTTTTCCAGTAACAAAAAACACAATTTGTAAATACCATGAAAAAAAAAGATAAGAACAGCATAATACTAATACACCAAAAATGAAGCCCAAGCAGGAATGATCTTTTACAACAAAAAAATGTTCCAAATTATTAAAAAGAGTATTCATCTGTTCCAATTAAACCAAAACTAGTAAATAAAATGAATGAATTGAGAAAACAAGAGTAATCTATCTGTTGAGTTAGAGCATCTCACCAAGTCCAATAAAAAAAATCACCAGAAAGAACCCAAAACTGGCCTGAGAAGTCAATATGATCTCAGCAAAAGTAGAGACTCAAATCAGTTATTATCTTCCTCTTCATCTATCAGAATCTTCTTGCAAGCTTCAAAGCACATAAATGATATCCCAGCAGCAGGAACCAGCTTTAAGCAACTTGGTCCCAAACCTTTATAAAGCCCCCCAACCCCTTCTTTCTCAAGTATGCTCAAAAGCGCATGAAGCATGTTCTTGTAAACCTGCCTGCCACCAACTGCTCCAACTTGCATGCGTTTTCTTGCTACTTCAAGGGGAAATGTAGCACTGCTTGAGATTGCACCAGCTGCAGAACCCATTAGAAGGGTTGCGAAGTTGCCGATGTCTTCTTTCTTGCGAATTTTCCGATAAGCTTTCTTTAGCATATCATAGGTGAAGTAATTCGTTGCGGCGTACGGTACAACGCCGATTAGACTTGGAGTGAGACCTCTGTACAGTTCTGCAGGGCCTTCCTCACGTATTATCTTGAGAAAGGCATGCAGGAGATTGTCATATACATCTTTCTGCAGTTGAAAGATAGCATATTAAGTCATCAAAAATAGTCTAATGAGCACAGAACCTTATTTTTTAAAGTATAGTGTTTGCTTCAAACTGTTTTGAACTAAGGCAACTACAATATGAGTGGAAAACACTATCCCAGTGGATTTAAAAAGAAATACAATTTCTTTCAACGAAAATGAAGCGTCTTTGGGGATAATTATTTTGTGCATACGCCGAACGCCGTCCAGAGACTAACCAGAATGCATCACATCATCCCTTGCTCGGTACAACAGCTCAGTACTGCTCGATACCGCGGCTCGGTACTGCTGACGTGGTGCATTCTGGTTGGTGATGTGAAACAAATAATGGAATTGTACATATAAATTTATAACGATTTAATTAGGACGTCGCAACTTAAGCTTAATGTTTCACTTTGAAAAGTTTTTACGAATTTAAAATTGTTTAAATTGATATGACAAGTAACCACACAATCGAAGAGCAAGATCTCAAAATAATATCAAGAATATAATGAAAACAAGTTGTGCAACAAACAAACAATCAACTACATAACAAAAAGAGAAGTCACCTCGAGTTTCCCTCACTCACACTCTTTAAGGAGAGGAAGAAGAATCGCCACTATCTGGAAGATGCCACCACGAAGGAGAGGAAGCCGGGTAGAGATCCAACGAAAGTTAGCCGGATTAAGGGCTATGTGTAGACGACCGTTGATCCACTAACGTCCGGAGGGAAGATGCTTGACTTTTTCTTGCAAGAGAGCTCATGGGATGAGAGGAATTCCAAGAAGGTGGGCAAGCAAGATGACCGGCCAAATGTGGAGGGAATTAGGGTTTGCAAGGTCTAGGTTTGGGGTTATGGAAAGAGCATTAAATCTGAAATTAATTTTAGATTTAATTAAATGTGGAGGGAGAAGAATTTGAAATTCAAATTCAAATTCAAATATGGGTTAGGGGAATTAGGGTTATTAAATCCTCTTTAAAATTAATTACCAAGGAAGGTAATCACATTAAGAGAATTAAAAGTAGTGGGGAGGGGCTGGCGGGCTTGAGGGTGGGTGTGGGTGGCCGACGGGTGGTGAGTGGGGTAGAGTTGGTCGGCGGCTTAGGAGGAGAGGAGATGGCCGGCGGTGAGACTAGGGGACAGGGAAGAGAAAGAGAAAACAAGAAACTAACTATGAGTCCCAGCTCCTATCGGCGGCTGGTGGGTGATACTTGGCCCTATCCTAGGGATTACTTCTATCCAGAACTCACAAAGAGATCTAAAAGCAAAAATCTGAAATTTCATTTATCAAAATCATCATCCAAATACAAGACCAAGGACCCAATATATAGGCCTCAAAGAGAAAGAAAGAAATGACTAAAATGTCCATAGGGGTATAACTCAACTCAACACACAGGCAAAGATACAAACGTAAATAAAGAAAATAAGAACTAATACATAAAATATCAAATATATAAGCTCCTCATCGTAGCCATCGATCTACGACGCTTCCAGCGGTAGACATTCTGGAATCTCCTACTGATGTCCTCATCAGTTGGTCTCCGGACCGCATTCTGCGTCCGGTCTCCGCACAAAATAATTTCTCTCTTGGGAGGGCTGTTTAAAGAGAGTGAGTGGTCTAAAATATTGCCTTTTTTTTACATCCTGAAGCCCCATAGGTTATGCATGTGATTAAAACCAATATGGAATGAATATTTAATACCACATGCTTCGAGTTTCAAAGTAGACATTTAACCATTTTCTCCCAAACACAATTCTCAAATAAAATAAAAGCAGAACTCAGTTTTTGTTGATACCATCACTAGCAAGGACTTACCTCTATGGTTAGTCGAGTCTTGAGCAGCTCTAGAGGATAGGTAAATAGGGTCGAGCTAATTCCAGCACAAGCTCCAGCAACCAAAGATGGAGGTATATGAAGTATAGGTTGCTCATTGGATTTTGGTGTCAGTATTTTCTTTACTGTATCATAAGCAAATAACTGCAAGAAATATGTGTAGATGAGGAGAGATAAATATCATAACATAAAAAATGATAATCTTGGTAGCTACATATTTTTATAGATCAAACACTTTCTAAAATATGACACAAAACAAATGCATGAGAACAAGGCACAAGTGCAACTTTTGCATGCTTTAAGATTCTTCAAAAATATACAAATCTGAGCGCATTTGCCAAAATGAACAAAGCATACATCAAAAGATATCTGTAGCTGACGTTAGAGCTATATGACCGAGTGCTAGGAAGTTTTTCACTCGTATAAGCGCATAAAATAATAATAACTTTATTGATATTTGCACCACGGTGCCCATTATATATACATTTTATAATAGGATGGGACCATTGTTATTACACTGTACTTAATTTTACATGCCACATGTTATTCCTTAATACAATTAAACTATTAGACATTCACAAATATAATTAAACACACAAAAGTATTGTAAATATCTAATAGTTGAATAATATTATATGTCATTTAGTTATATTGTCTAATAATTTAGTTATATCAAAAAAATAACACGTGATGTGCAAAATAAAAAATATTTGTAGTAAAAATAGTCTCATCTTGATGCAAAACATACTAGAAATATACATAGTATGTTTGTTTTGTATCAGCATGGGACTATTTTTGTTATAAATATATTTGCTTGTGCACATCACAAGTTATTCCTCGATATATATCTGAAACATAAAGTCGTTGAACAAAAGTCGGCCTATTTTGTAAAACTTATGAATGATGAACTATAAAAAAGGCTTGAAATCACAAGAGCTCTCTCCATAATGAAATACGAATAACTACAAAAGAAAAGAAAGAAAATAGCATTTTGAGAGAGAAAATTATTAGCTTGATAAGATTCCAGTTTGCAACATTGTAAACTTTGTCAAGTTTAACAAGAAAATAATTTTAGGTCATCAAATCCTTGATAAGGGCACCCAACCACATGTACACAAAGAAGATCAAGGCAATTAAAATTTCTCATCACTAACCCCTGAGTTTTAACAACAACTAAAAGTACAACTACGCATCCAAGAAATGATGATACCGAAGACCAACATGTTCCACAACAAATAGTACATAAACTAGTAAATACTATACTGTTGACTTTTAAACTTCAATTTTAAAGAAAATTGACATCTAGTCGGGTAAGAATGAGCCATCCTGGACTCAGAAATGAAAATTTTTATTTCAATTGAAGACAATTTCTAATTGAGCCAAAAGTGATTGATTTCCAGTGGAGTTTTGAGCTAATTTTAGTAAGGTCTATTAATTATACAAAATTATTTTAATCCCTAATGAAAATTATTATCTATAAAGCAGTCAAATTTTATTTATAAAGGTGTATCATCAAACATATTAGTATGAATGTACATTATAGACTCTCTCTCTCTCTCACAGAGAGAGAGAGAGAGAGGCACGGGAGAAAAGAGGGTAAGAGAAATGAGGTAATTAAAAGTGCTAAAAGCGGTTTAAGTGTGTTACAGTCGGAAGAACCATAGAGATGGTTTGAAAGAAGAATATAATGAAAAAGAAGGCATTGCATGGAAAGGAAGAGAGAAGGTGGGTTGAGTAATATGAAAAAGATAAAGAAGGCGAAGCTTCAGATAGAGCAATACTGAGATGGAAAACAACTAATGAAAACATAATTTAAAGGTCATAGAAGGAATATTATTTTCTTCTGGGGTTTCCTCCAGGGTTTTTGGGAGATGGTCTTCTACAATAAATGCAAGCTTTTCTACCTAATCCATTTAAAATAGACAAGAACAAGAAGAAGGGTGTTGTATAATGCATATTGTTATGTGCAGTAATATTCATAGCAGTATCAGGAAAGTTTATCTTAGTGTTCTAAAAAATCCTACAGATACGGAGATAATGTTCATGGGATATGGGGAATTTTTTCATCAAAAACCTTGACAGGTAACCCCCTTGCAAGCCTAATGGAAATAGTTCCATTACGTAGGATTATAAAGATTTATCTTCCTTGTAATTAGAGGTAACTATTGGTTGATGACAGACACAAGCGTCCAGTAATAACACATGATGTTAAACACTAGCATCTATTGATCACAAGTAGCGACGAGGGAGCATGTAACGGTCGAGGTGATAGTTGATCATAGTGGGCAGATGTTAATATTAGTCAATGGTAGATGATGATGACAATAGGAGGTGGTTTAAAAGGGTAAACATCAATGTTGGTTGATCATTATCAACTGGATATAGCTCTAGAATTCTTTATGAAACACAAAATTTTCTTTTCTGGAACGCTACTTCATAATCCTATAAGAACTGAATCTGACATTTTATGATCACCTAAAAGCAAACAAATTTAGATAAAAGAAACATAATATTGTCCAAGAAACATAATATGGGGGTTGCCGGGGTCCAAGGGGGCGCTGCCCCCTGGAGGGGTTCGACCTGCCCGGTCAGGTCGCGGGGTCAAGGGGCATCGCCCTTGCGGGGGTTTCCGGGGGCAGCGCCCCCATAACAAAATTTATTTGTAAGAGAAATTTTGAAGTTCGTTTGTATGGAAATTAGGGAGCGATACCGAGCGTGTACCTAGTTGTACCGAGCTGTACCGAGTGGTACAAAGCATGTAACTAGCGGTACCGAGCATGTACCGAGCGGAACCGAGCATTTACATAGCGGTACCGAGCGGTATCATGCATGTACTTAGCAATACCGAGCGTGTAGCTAGTTGTAACGAGTTGTACCGAGTGGTACAAATCATGTACCGAGCGGTACCGAGCGGTATCATGCATGTACTTAGCGATATCGAGCGTGTACCTAGCGGTACCGAGCGTGTACATAGTTGTACCAAGCTGTACCGAGCGGTACAGAGCATGTAACTAGCGGTACCGAGCGATACAGAGCATGTAACTAGTGGTACCGAGCGGTATAAAAAATATTAACAAGTATACCAAAATTTAAAAATAATTTGGCGCGCTATTTTGCGCCGTGCGCAATGCGCCATGACTCACATGTGGCGCAAATAGCGCGCGCTATTTTAAACACATGCGCCTCGCCATGAACATGGCGCCGTAGATGCGCCGCGCCGTGCGCCATGGCGCGCGGTATTTTACGCCATTGACAGCTATGGGTTGTACCTTGATGTATGCTTTTTGCTGATGATATTCTTTTTATTGAAAAGACTAGAGAGAGAGAGAGAGTTGAAGGTAAACTTGAATTATGGAGGCCAACTTTAGGGTCTAAATTCTTTCGTTTGAGTAGATCTAAAACTGAATTTATTTATTGTAATTTTAGTAATAATAGTTTTAATGGGAGGACTATGACTTTGTGTGATCAAGTCATTAATAAGAGTATATGTTTTAAATATCTTGGGTCTATTGTTCAGAGTGATGGCGAAATAGATGAGGATATTATTAATAGAATTCAAGTTGGATGGTTGAAGTGGATGAATGCATCGGTCTTGTTGTGTGATAGAAACGTTCCCCTTAAACTTAAGAGAAAATTCTATATGATGGTGGTCAGACCTGCAATGCTTTATGGTGCAGAATATTCGCCATTAAAAGAAAAGCATAACATTAAGTTAAGTTTTGTAGAGATGAGGATGCATGGGTGGATGAGTGGAATGATTTATGGTGCAGAATGTTCGCCATTAAAAGAAAAGCATAATATTAAGTTAAGTGTTGTAGAGATGAGGATGCATGAGTGGATTTATTCTTAGAGACAGGATACGAAATAAGCATATACGTGAAATGTTTGGAGTAGCTCTAGTGGAAGATAAGATTAGAGAGAGTTGCCTAATATGGTTTGGTCACATAAAATGGCAGCCTTTCAATGATCCGATTAGGAAAGTAGATGTATTAGATTTGACTTATGTTAAGAAGGGTAGAGGTAGACCAAAAAAGACTTGATTGGAAAATATTAAGAAAGGACTTTTCTTTATTAGATTTAAATGAGAATTTAACTTTTAACATGACATAATAAAGAAAAAGGATTCATGTAGCCAACCCCACATAGTGGGATATAGGCTTGATGTTGTTGTTGTTGTAATCATGAATACTCCATTTGATTGATTGGAAAGTCCCTCTTGATCATTTTAAATTTTTTGGGCATCCCAGTGCCCTAATGAACTCGAAATTGAGTGATATTAGACTCATTAAATTTGTCTCAATGAAGCGATTATTTTCACTAATAAGTACATAAAATTTGAAGAAATTTAACCCACAAATGGCCACAAGAAGCTTTTAATTATACTTTTGAGTGCTTGATTAAGACTCATTTAGACTCAAATTAAAATGTTATTAGTATCATTGATTATAAAATTGTTCAAAATGGAGTAGGATGATCAAAGAGTCAATTCTAAAAGTTTTTTGCTTGAATGCTTGAAGTCTTTGAGATGTAAAAATTTACGTAAAAATATGTACTTTATGAAATGATTTTTTTTGGTAACATATCACTTTTCCCTACTTTTGAATGTTAAATTTTATTTGTCAAAAAATACTCTTAAGTAATTTCACATTTTAGTAAAGTTTGGGGTAAAATCATAATTTGGGGGGAATTTCAAAATGAAATCATCCTTGGACATCAACATGAACCTCCCATTTGAGCTATGGACAAATTAGACCCCCCTCAATCATAATTTTACACTTCAATAAAGTTGAAATGTCATTCATAATGAAAATTTATTAAAACATTGGTTCAAAATTCTCTAAAATGGCTAACAATTAACTCCATAGGTCTTGTGAGAGCTTGAAAAGAAAAATCGAGTTCAAGACACCAATAAAGACCTTAGGGTCCTAAAATGCTAGAAAAGGCTTGTTTAAGGTTAATAACAAGCCTGAACATGGGGTGTGCTGCCTAATGTTGGACGTGTGTAAAATGCTACATGCTATTTTTTTATTTTTCATATTTTTTTAAATTAAATTTTTGAAATTCCTTCTACTAAATGATTTTGGATAATAATGACTTAAAAAAATATAAAAACCTATTTACAAGGAAAATACTAAAAGGGAAAAACCACAATCCTAACCTAATTGAAATAGTTTCACCATCTACATTAAAGATTCAAATATGTTTCCTTCTCCATAATTCGCGGCATGATAACAATCTTTGAAATGTAAGGGATGTTTCTTGCGATAGCGGTAAATTGTATTCAAAGGTAGTAGAGTTAATGGGAAAATTTTGAAGGATGGCAGGACAATGATGTTAGTTAAGTGAGGATGGATGAAAATAGATGTTTGTGTCAGTAAACGAGAAGTGATGACGATGGTCAATGATAGGTGACAAAAAATTATCAATGATAAGCAAAGATGAATGATTGATAATAGACAATGACAGATGGCCGATAGTGGACATTGGCATCATTTGATGACAAATGTCGGCTTTAGTTGATGGCTAGCTATGATGGACAAGTGACAATAGGTGAAGATGGAAGGGAGCCAGTAAACATCATTGTCAATCAATGATAGGAGATAGTGGATAACACACAACCGACATCATATATCTACATAGTCAACAACAAGCAATGGAAGATAGCAAGCAACAACGTAAGAGCAACAATAGATGACAACAACCAGGTGTTGGCAATAGACAATGGATGTAACTTTGGAGCTCTTTACAAATCTCATATTTCTTTACATGAAAATCCTCTTCTTAATTAGTAGAAACATGATCTATATTTGCGCGCCCCCCCGGGACCAAAAAACAAAGACCTATTGATTAAAAGCCCTTTGATCCAGACATTCTTGATATCACTAAGATTAGATGAATTTCTATTGTATATCATGCATAATAGATAAAAACATAAATATTAAAATGTTATCTAAATTTAAATTGAATAATAGTAGTTTTCATGTTTGATGAAACATGTAGGATTTGTTTTCCCCTCATTAACATTAAAACTTACTTGGTGTCATCATTGCTCCAATCTAAGCGACAATCATTTTTAAGCAAGAAATTTCTTGTATTCATGCCAGATAATAACTCTGGAATAAAAAAAGAAAAATGTAGAGCACAATCAATAAATTTCAATAAGGTAAAGAATAGAATAAGCTCACCATGCCCAAGAAAAATGTATTTAGAACTTTAGCCCTCTTGAACAAGTTCTCAAAATACATGCCTGTGACTTAAATACCAAAGAAAGAACAATGGGCATTTTTATATTTTTTCTACAAAAATAACCTGTTTATGCCATCAGAAGTGAAGTAAGGACAAGATGCAGTCCAAATAAAAGAGGAGAGAAAACAAGTGAAACAAATACAAAAAGAAGGGTAAAAATATCAGTAATCATATACCTCTATGGCCTTGCTTGGAGCAACTCGAATAACATTAACAAAATTTCCACGAAACAAACCAGTCCATCCTTCATTCTTTAAAACATTTTGAAAAACTTCAATGGTTGAGTTGCCATTGCTCCCTACCATCAAGTGAGTTCTGATTGTTTCCAGAGGGGCAACCATAGTTCGGGAAACAGCCCCAGCAATTCCCCCACTAATAAAGCTCCTAAGAGAAGGATCACGCACTCTGAGCCTGATTTTGAGGACATCTTTCTTCTCATTGATCTTTGCCTTTTTTACTACCACAGCATCAGATGCTCCCAGTGCTGTATCTTGTTGATCCAGGGCAATCCTACAATTCAATGGAGGAGGTACTGCATACTTTGCATAGTGATCACTAAATGGAATCCCTACACTATTATTGCTAGGGTTTGATGAGCTTGAAGTGATACCAAAGCCTGAAGTGGCGCGACCAATGCTCGCAAACATTCCACTAGTAGGGTAAAAGCAGTCCTCAATGCACCAAGAAAGATTCAAACCAGTCAAGGGGAGGAGAACCCGATCGCTTTCATTTCCAATGGCATGCAAAGATTTCCCGGCCATAGCTCAGACTCTGAATAAAACCTCTGATCGCAATGGCAAGCAGTGGAAGGGATTGAAAACCTCTAAATTTCAGGTATTGAACTGAAATAAGAAACTAAAAAAATAAGGCAAAATTAGAGACAGCATAGCTTGTGCTTGAAGATGCTTAAGTTTAAAGCAAACATAATTTCGCTATAAGTGCATCCACTTGAAAAATTAAAAACTGAAATTTTTATATAAGAATCTAAAAAAGCAGGTCAAAAAGCAAAGATATCACTTGAAATCAACGCATAGTAAGATCAAAGCCCTATATTTCTTGAATGCAACAACAATAGATGGCTTTTAGATCGCAAGCATCAAAAGGAAAGGGCTTTCCAACCTGAAACCGGAGCAAATCGAACAACAAACAGCCCTCGCCTTTATCGCTCTCCGCACCTTTCAGAGAGACAAGGAACGATATAGAGAAAGAGAACAGAGAAAGCGGAGAGTGTCGAAGAAAAAAACGCGCAGGAATTTCCCTTGGTTTATGAAACTATTTGTCGAGCAGGTTCTTTATGCTTAAAATCGCAGAGCAGAAACTTGCCGGCTTTATCAGCGCCATAGATCTCGTTTGGTTAAAGTATGCGGCGGTATGCCTGTGTGTGTTCGATGTGCATAATCTTATTCTAATTTTGTAAAATTGTTATTATAACGTTCTAAAAAGATTTAGTTCTAAATCTTAATTTTTTTTTTGGGAAAAATTGGGGGCATAGCCCGTATCATAATAAAATAAAAACAAAGTTTATACACTAACTCTATAACCATTTATAAGTATATGTAAAGAGAGCTGTGACAAAATTGACAAAAACCCCGAGAGACTGGTCACAAGCAAAAGGATCAAAAAAGAAGCCTGAGGGGGACGCAATAAACGAGGATCCGATCAAGAAGAACTAGATCGATATCATCAAGTCATCCAAGGGAGAGCCCCGCCCAGGTCGAGTCCACTCATCATTGTCCCAAAATAGAGCTAAAGTAGGAGAGGAAAGTGTTAGCATGCGGTTCATTCATATTATTGTGTACCTGCTCTATTTACTCTTTTACCTGTATTAGCTTATTTAAAGATATATGTATCGTCACGTGGATGAATAGAATTGTCTTTCCTTTCTTTACCAATTACTCTTCGTCTCTGTTTGTCTCTTCTATGCTAAGACTTCTTTGGCACCTCTTTCATGGTATCAAGAGCCACAAATGGGGGACCAAAGCTCCACTTCTTCCCTCCCTCCCTCCTCCTCTAATCCAGCCGACCACAATGCCGAAGTCTCCATTCTGGCACCTCTCAAATTTCTTGTCTCCAACATCAAGAACCTAATCCCTCATCCTCTCAATAATGACAACTACGTTATATGGCGGATTCAAATCATCCAGCAATTTTCTGCGAATGGGTACGTCGGTCACCTCACAGACGTCAATGCTCTGCCCTTTGAAGACGCACCACAAGAACTTGCACGCTGGCGACTCGTCGACAGCAATTTGATCTCCGCTCTCTTCTCCACAATATCACCTTCCATTCTGCCCTACGTCATCACCTCCACCATAGCTCAAGAAATCTGGAACGTTCTTGAACGACGATTGCAACCTTCAAGCCGCTCGAGAGTTCTTCAGCTCAAGAACGAGCTTCACCACTTACAAATAAAAAATCTTACTATGCAGCAATATCTTTCACAAATAAAGAACATCGTCAACAACGTTGCTTTCACCGGCTCCAAGATTGACCCGGAAGACATCGTGCTCTACATCCTCAATGGGCTTCTATCTACATACAATTCTTTCAAAACTGCCATCCGCACCTCCTCCATTCCCGCATATCTTGACAACTTATATTCACTAATTTGCAGCGAAGAAATCCAGGTCAATCAAGTACTTCTCAAATATCAGTCCACACCCTCATCCGCAACAGCCCATTATGCCACTTCCTATAATCAAGCGAAAGGGTGAACTCAAAAACGCCAAAACCGGAACATCAACACCTCATACAGAACACCCTCTCTGAGCCAACCTGTCCCGCAGCCCATGAACACAAACAATCAGCGTCCAACTTGCCAAATATGTGGCAAAACAGGGCACATAGCCATTAACTGTTGACATAGATGAAACTTTAAGTATGCACTAACCACTTCAAATGTGCCTCGAGCCATGCTAGCTCAACCAACATCTTACGGGACTAAAGATTGGATTCTCGACTCCAGTGCCTCCACACACTTGACGCCGGACAACACTCATCTCCAGCAGTCGTTCGCCTACAATGGCCAAGATACTGTCTCCGTCGCCAATGGCTCCACCCTACCAATTCATAATTCAGGCCAAGATTTGCTTCCGCTATTGGAAACACCTCGTAAGCTTTGATTATGCAATATTTTACACATTCCATATCTTACTCACAATCTTCTTTTTGTTTTGAAGCTAACATCTGATAACTTAATCTCAATTACTTTTGATACTAACGGCTTTGAAATAAAGGATTCTCAGGATAACCATCTTCTACTTCGTGGACATTTCCATAACGGGTTGTTTCATATACAACCAGCTTCCGAGGCGCCTCCCACTGCCCTTCATGCCATCACCACATCCTCTCAACTTTGGCATGCCCGCCTCGGTCACCCGAACAATAGACTTCTTTCTTTTCTTGCTAAACAAATTCCTGACTTTATAAATATATCTTTTTCATTTCTTTGCGAATCTTGTAATGAGGCCAAGAGCCACAAGCTCTCGTTTAATAAAAGAAATTCCGTTTCTTCGTCACCGTTCGAGCTTATTCACTCAGATGTGTGGGGACTGACACAACAACCATCCTTAGATGGGTTTAGATACTATGTAATTTTTATCGATGATTTTACTCATTTTCATGGATTTACTTCATGCATTCTAAAAATGAAACGTTCACAAAATTTTAACAATTTTGCAGTTTAGTTCGCACATAATTTTCAACTACCCCAAAAACTTTTCGCTCCAACGGCGGAGGTGAATTCATGAGCCTTGCTTTCAAATCTTTTCTTCAAAACCATGGTATTCTCCACCAACGCAGCTGTCCGCATACCTCAGAACAGAATGGCCTAGCTGAACGCAAGCACAGACATTTTCTAAATCTCACCCGCACGCTCCTACATGCGTCTCATCTACCAAATCAATTCTGGGCTGAAGCCACTTCCACGACCAACTATCTCATAAATCGGCTCCCCTCCAAATCCATCTTTCTCAAATCTCCTTACCAAACTCTATATAACAAATTTCCAACCAATTCTCATCTTCGCACCTTCGGGTGTCTCTGCTATCCTTTGTTACAACCCTACACCACCAACAAGTTTGCCCCTCGCTCCGCCGACTGCATCTTCATCGGATACTCCCCCATCCACAAAGGCTACAAATGTTACAATCTCACCACACATAAAGTCAACATCTCTCTTCACGTAATCTTTCACGAACACATTTTTCCCTACACATCAATGGCCACAAAATACATACCAACCCCTCAACCCGCCACAATTGACACTTCCCTTCTACTTCTTGTCCCAACTTCAGCTGTTCCCCCTTCAATCCCTTCGGATAACACCAAACACCACCCTCCATCTTCTACAACTAATACCCAACTCGCAACTCTACCTGTCTCTCCCTGTCCAGCACAAGACTTGAGCTCCGAACCTCATAATGCCCCTCAAATTTCCAACCATCCCATTCATCATTTGACAACTCGATCCAAGTCTGGCATATCGAAACCCAAACACTTCCTATCACTTCTCAGCAACACTACTCCTCCCACCACTCTGACAACTTACAATCAAGCGGCTAAATTCGAATACTGGCATCTCGCTATGGCCGAAGAGTTCTCTGCTCTACAGCAACAAAGAACGTGGTATCTTATTCCTCCTCTGTCGAACAAGCAAATTCTTGGAAGTAAATTGACCTTCAAAATCAAGATGCTACCTTCAGGACAGGTTGATCGTTACAAAGCTCGACTTGTCGCATTGGGCTATGACCAAATATATAGAGAAAATTACACTAAGACCTTCATCCCCATCGCCAAGATGCCAACCATCCGCCTACTTCTTACTCTTTCCCTGCACGGCAAATGGAAAGTACTTCAACTCGATGCTTCCAAAGCCTTCTTGCATGGCGACCTTCCAGATGATATCTACATGCACAAATCACCCGGGTTTATGGATTCTTGATCACCAAACTAAGTATAGCTTCATAAATCCCTCTACGGGCTTAAGAAGGCACCTAGACAGTGGTTCCAAAAGCTCACAACATTCCTAAAATCTCACAGATTTCGGTTTAGTCGCTCCGACCCATCTCTACTTCTTTTTACTCACCGCCAAGTTCAAATTTTTCTACTAATCTATGTTGATGATATTCTTGTCACAGGGAACGATTCTCACTACATCCAGTCACTACTTCAAGATCTCAACTCTTAATTTTCTCTTAAGCAGCTCGGACACATATCCCTCTTCCTTGGCATACAGGTTATTCAAAACACCAAGGGATACTTCCTCACATAGCAACACTATGTCACCAAAATTTTCAATGAGGACAGCTTCTTTGATTGCAAGCCGTCACCTACACCACTTTCTCATGCGTCAAAACAACAACTCCGAGACAACAATCCGTTCCATGATCCCTCTCTCTATCGTCATCTCGTCGGCTCTCTTCAGTATCTATCAATTACCATACTCGACATAGCTTTTGCAACGAATCATATCTGCCAACATATGCACCAGCCCACGGATCAAGACTTTCAAGCTCTCAAACATCTTCTATGCTATGTCAAAGGCACTCTATCCTTTGGCCTACCAATAGTCACGGGCGATCTACATCTTCGAACCTTTATTGATGAAGACTGGGCCGCTGACAACATCGACAGGGAATCCATCTTTAAATTTTGCACCTTCTTGGGTCCAAATCTAATCTTGGACCGTCAAGAAATAGGTAACCGTAGCCAAGTCTTCAACAGAAGCTGAATATCGGGCTATCTCCGCAGCTACCTCAGAACTTATTTGGCTTCGTCGATTAGCTGCCGAACTCTCCCTCGTACAATACACTCCAATGATCATCCACTATGACAACATCTCTGCCATTTCTCTTGCCAAGAACCCTATCTTCCATGCTCGAATGAAATACATTGAAATTTACTATCATTTCATTCGGCAACACATCTCTTTCGGCGACATCACCATTCAGCACATTCCCTCCAAAGACCAAATTGTGAACATTCTAACTAAACCTTTTTCAACCGTCCGCTTTACCGAGCTTCGTTCCAAATTAACCATTCAATCCTCGAATGATTAATTTTAGGGAGGATGTTAGCATGCAGTTCATTCATATTATTGTGTATATACTCTATTTACCCTTTTACCTGTATTAGCTTATTTAAAGATATATGTATTGTCACCTGGATGAATTGAATTGTCTTTCCTTTCTTTACCAATTACTCATCGTCTCCGTTTGTCTCTTCTCTACCAAGACTTCTTTGGCATCTCTTTTAGAAAGCACAACAAGTCTCTTCAGCATTTTTCCATTTAGAAATCCTCACATAGACATAATTGATAACCATGTTGCGGATGAAATGAGGAGAGGATACAGAATTCCCTAAAGGCCTATCATTGATTTCTCTCCAAATGAAATAAAT